TAGCGCTTTTGTAAAATTAAAAAGTACGGTTTGAAGAAGTCTGGCGGGTCTGTGCGGGGCGGGGCGGCGGGAGGCGCGAGCCGGGGCTGGTCCCACCACGAGGACGCGGCTCCGGTCGCTGTTAGTTCTTTATTAGGGTGGAAATATATAAAACGTGAGGGCGAGGGAGGCGCAGGTGGGCGACTCTTCCCACCAGCCAGCAGGTCTCCCCTCGTGGGCGCTTTCTGCGTGGTTACGTGGAGGTTAGCTCGAAGGGAACGCGCACGCGTGACGCGACCGCTCGCTCCGTACCGCTCAGCTGCGCTCCTCTCTCCACCAAGGAGACAAAGCCCAAGCGAGGAGCCCCTGTGAGACAGAGGAACCCTGCCGAAACCCCGGCTAAAAGCTGGAGCGGTCCCTGCCCCGCGCCCAGCCCTCTCACGCCTCACCCCTGCTCTCCAGCCGCGCCTCGCGCCGCTCCAGCGTCCCCTCTCTGTCCCCTGGCTCCCCGCCTCCGCTGGACGCGCCGGGTCTCAGTACTTGTTGATGCCAAAGACGCGGACGCCGTGGAACTGGGGCAGCTTGGGCAGGAGGACGCTGAGCAGCGAGGCCGTGTTGATGACGAAGTGCGCGGGGTCGTATTTGGTGTAAAAGCTGGTGAGGAGGTACCTGGGGGAGGGAGGGAGAGGCCGGGTGAGCTCCGTGCCGCTCCCGCCCTCCGCCCGCCCTGGATTTCGGGTGCCTCCCGTACAAAACCAGCACCTGGCAGCTGGGGAACCCCTCCAGCCCCAGGACCCGTCCGTGCCAGGGCGGCTGTGCCGACAGAAGCCTGGCGGTCCTGCCGCGCGCCTGGGACGCCCTCCTGAGCCCCCCGCGCCTCCCTGCCCCGCCCGGCGGCACTCACAGCACCACTGGGGAGATGCTGAGGAACTTGCGCGAGGAGGTGCACTGCGTCCCGTAGTCGATCTGCTCCCAGTGCGTGAGGAGGCGATCCTTGCCCTGGTCCGGGGTCTCGAAGGGGGTCCCCTTCACCGTGTGCAGCAGCAAGTACATGACCTGCAGGTTTCGAGGGGGGAGGAGAGGTAAAGCGAGCCCGGGACGGTCTGCTGCCGGGACAGGAACAATGTGCTTTGGGCCTTTGTGCTGCTTCCCGAGCTAACCACCTTCCATCAGCTCCAGCTCCCCGCAGCGCCAGCCCCCAGCCCTTCCCTCGGTGCCCCGCAGGGGCCAGGGGCTGCCTCGTAGCCCGGGGACGCAGAGCCGTAGCCACCCCGCGTCCCCTCCGGCCCCGGGGGGGAAAGCGGGCCCAGCTTTGACTCACCAGGTTGTGTATGACGTTGGTGAGCGTCCAGACCACGGGAATGCTGAAGAACGGGATGCTGAGGAGAACGACGTGGAGGACTCCCACGGAGATGACGTACGCCAGCCAGATCCCCCGGCTGTTCATCACCCGCGTGTTGGGGTTCACCTCGCTGTGCGCCACCCCCACGTTCATCCTGCGGCAGGCAGACGGAGCCTTCCAGGGGTCTCCTCGAGCGGCTCCCCCAGACCTCGGCCATCCCCGACCCAGCCGGGGCTCCCGGCGCAGCCCCGGGCCCACGGTCTTCCCGCAGCACCTCGCACCCCGGCCTTCCTACGTGCGCAACCTCAACGCCCCTCTGCCAGCGGCTCCCCCGTCAGCGGCTCTGCATCGCAGCCTTAGGGACAGGAACGCAAGGGGAAGGGGCTCACCCCCAGCCGCCAGAAACGCCGGGAGCAAAGGAAGAACCGCCCGGTAACGGGGCTCCCCTCGCCCCGGCGCCCCGGGCAGGGCGGCAAAACGCCCCTGAGACAGGCGTGGGGCCGGGGAACGGCCACGGATCCCCCCCTCTGGGGGAAGACTGCCCGCCCCGGGGCCGGGTGCGCCTGCTCCCCTCGGGGCCCGGCC